ATATAAAATTATATTAAGAAATAAAAATATTGTTCTTAAATTATTTTTCATTTCTTATATATTTAACATACATATGAAAATTAAGATATCCCAATGCTTAAAACATTTGATTTTCTAAGCTCTCTATATTTAATGATGAATTATAAATAGGACTCTTATCAATAAAGTTTTGATTTAGTAATAATTAAGATAAAAGTAGTCTTAATATTTTAAATTTTAAATTTAGATTGTCTAGATTCATAATTTAATTTAAATTGTATTGAGATATGTTACAAAATTTGTTGTCCTTTAAATTGTCGATTAGTTGATGTGATGTATATGCACTACTGGGATTGTTATGAAATTTGCACGGTTGTACCTATAAAAGGAAAACACGGCTCGCTTGACTACTTCAGAATTCGAACCTAGGAGGAGAAGAAAAAGGAACACCTTAGGTAAAAAAAAAAAAACTTGGGTTTGAATATGAAAAACTAAACAGAAGTTTTCTTTGATTTCATGGGCTTATTTATTGAGACAGGCCCTGTTCTCTTGAAGTCCGAATTCTAAAGCCTACGGTACAATTACAAACGGGTAGAAGGCCCATTGAATTGAATTGGGGGAAAAATGGTTCCATCCGCTTTAACTGTGCTTCGTGTAAAAGGACCGACAATTTTTAAAAGTTGAATTTATTAATAAATAAATATTATTTTGTAAGTTATATTTAAATTTTAAGTTTTAAGGTTAATATTTTAAAAAATAATTTTTTGAAATGTATTAGGCTAGTGTAAAAATGCACCCTTAATATCACTAGAAAAAATTAGTCTCTTGATGTGCAAAAAAATAACTTGGATATACCATAACTATAAATATTAAAAAAGGAAAAAAAAAAGGAAAAAAAAAAGAAGAGAAAAAGCACTGGTAGAGTTTGGAGGGCTTAGGGGTGTCATTATGGCTATTTCAGTTACAATTGGGAAAGTCATATAAATTTATCAGAGCCAAGTAACAATAACTAAAATGTCTAAATTGAATAACAAAAACCTACATAGACATTTAGCATAACCCTCAAATTCACCCTTCAAACAAGATAATAGGGACAAATTTGCCTCTCACAAAAATATAGGGATAAATTATCCCTTCAAATTATAAAAAGGTAAATTAATCATTTTTTAACTTGTAACATCAGCTTTCCATTGACCATGTAAGTATTTTTTAATAAAAAACTAACGTCACATTAAAAAATTGATGATTTGTCTTAATTTATAATTTGAAAAAACAATTTATCCTTATATTTTTGTGAGGAATGAATCTATCTCTGCGACTCTATTTAAAGGGTAGATTTGAGAGTTTTTCTTAAACACTTAATCAAATGACCAAGGAAAAACAAAATACCATCACCAACCTAACAACCCACTGTCTATATCCAATTTTATTTGAATCCATCAC